CGCCACCACCACCATCACCTCCTACTTCCCCTATCAACTCCTTCTCCTCCTCCTCCCCCTCTTCGCCCTCTCGCAACGACCACTACCCTTCCGGCGACGCGACGACGACATTCAGCCTCATACCACGTTCACATTGGCGTCCACCCTGCTTTTTTTTTTCCCCACCGAAGGTTCGAGAAGAGCAACGAAGCCGATTTTTGTCGACCAATCACGAACGATCTTTGATAGGCAACTACAACGACAAAGCTTCACTCATCCAATGGAATTTCAAAACATTTCCCTTTTTATTCGATCACTAACTCATATATCTAGTTTCTCTCGGATGTCGTTACAACTATGAAGTTCTCGTACTTGTATACATGTTCTTTTCTTTAAAATATTGTTGAAATCAAAACGATACAATGTTGTTAGGATATACGATCCAAGTAACAACAACTTCTTCGACCCACTATCAAACAGCACCCACCTACCAACAACCACCACCACCACCACCACCACCACCACACTAAACCACCACTATCTTTGCAATACGACTAAGAGTCGTGTAATATTGTGCTAATATCTTATCGGTAATCCCCTTATTGCTTGAATGTACGTTCGAGTTTAGTAAATATATATGTTCCTATAAATGGCAATGTGTTGGATGAGTTTCTCTGTATAAAAAGAGAAAGAAAGACCGTTATATCCTGTAAACAATGTTTCAAAAAGCATCAAGATATTCTGAGAAAGTCCAGGGAACTTATTCGAACGTGAATCATTCTCTTCCTCTATCTTTCTCTCTTTTCTAACATCCTCCTAATTTCCCGAGCAAATTTTTTTTTTTGTTAAGGCAGCACACGGAAGACACACACAACGTTTTATGTGTTAGTACGAATGCACCGTGTGAACCATCATTCGCTCGATGTTGTATTAATGCGGGTGTGTTATTAACGGAGAAAGAATCAAACGGTTTATATAGTTGGTAGCATTGAAAGAGAAAAAGAGAGAGAGAGAGAGAAACAGATTTCTGTGTGTGAGCGCGCGCGTGGTGCGCGCGTCTGATTCCATCAGGGCTACCCTCCTCTTACTACACACACCACTTTACTGGCTGTTACTACTATTCTCGACAGTGTCTGTCTTCTTATTCTCCTTACTGCTATTATTTTCCTTGAGAGAGGTTAATTAACGACGAATCGAGAGAGTCTACACATATCCTTGGGAAATGAATATGTTCCTAGTGTAAATTATGAGATATGTGTGTAATATGCAATTTATAAACATACATATATATCTATATATATAAGTAAATTTATAATAGAGGAAAAGGGGTATTTACGAAAATTCTTTAAATGGGAATATATCGAATGAGATAATATAGAAACGCGTAGTATCAAAATGAAGGCGTATCGTCGACACCAAACCTTCTCTTTGCTACGTTAATCGAAGGTCGTTCCATTCCGTTCCGAATGATCACCACCGTGGTTCGATTTAGAAAGAAACTTGGAAAGCAAGTAGGTCGGGGATTGAGAAAAATAATGGCAAGAGGATACATTAAAGAATAATACTTAGTTGGCCCTATCTATCTATCATTATCCCCATACTGTATACATTATAAAGGGACAGCCCAAAAGATAAGGGTAAAGTATCATTTAAATGCCGTTGTTTAGTCGTTTTAAATTACACTTTTAATTACCGTCATTTACGGTATTCTTACTAACGGAATCCCATCCGTCCACCACCATTGGCCATTAAAAAACGACTACCCGATCGTTGGAAGAATGAGAAACACGATTTTGGTGTACCTTTAACGGTATATTCAAACAAAACGAATACCTAAACACATATCTTTGATGAAAAAAAAAAAAAAGTACAAATCGCTGTTGGAGACTGATATTCGACGAAAGGATAAAATCAGATTATATAGATCTGTACATTGCACATAGAGTTGTAAACTCGTATATTCTTGCAAACATGCAGTTGTAGAAGCTTGCACGCACAATAAAACGAAATTTCGTGGTGGGGATAGTATGCATCGTCATCGCCGTTAGACGAGGCGCGCGCTTAGAATGATCGTCAACACGTATGTTTTCTCGCATTTTATGTTCTACCACGTATACATTGGGTACCTCGATCAAAAAAGAAAAAATACGTATACATATATACAGAAAATCTAATAGTAAAACTCACCTAAAAAAAAAAAAAAAAAACAACATGTATGGAAAATAATCCTAATAATGCTAAGTTATCTAATTATTGGAGAAACAGGAACTCGCCAACAAACCTATCATAGTTTTCTACACACACAGTCAGAGACCTTAGGAATAGACGAGGAACGATGGTAAGTAGAGGAGAAGCCTCACCTCTTTTAACACCAGACTCTCCGTTGTGTGGCGCTGTGATCGTCAACTGCGCTTTTTTACAAAACGTGATCCACAAAAAGTTGATGTGCTGTTTTTGAATTTCGCGCGTTAATGAATGAACGAGGTCACGTGGCTATCTCTTAGAAAGCGGTAATTTTAAATATGTCCGATTTTTTGGTGATAATTTAAAAGTGTAAAACAACCACTTCAACTACACAATATAATCTTTTAGTAAAGTGAAGGATGAACTTTCTCGAGGGCACCTTGTTACCCATCATGGTTACCGTATCACAATCGACGCGTTGCAACCCCTTTCACGGGTACCGCGATAAAATCGTTACGCTTCCTTTAAGCGGGAACCCGCAGAAAAGCCCGCAACATTAGCATTCTTTGAAATCACATATGTGAATGTGTACGTATGCAATATACATGTACATGTACATGTATATGTATATGTTCGCATGTAATTGAAGAATAAAATCACGAAAATAAAGTAATGAATAGAAAAGGAAAAAGAGAAAGAATAAAATGAATTTAACAAACTCCCTCTTTGAAATCTTCCTTATTTCCATTTTTTTCCGCTTGCAATTATACCGCCCTTTGACCACGTATAACGCACGTGTAACATCCTTATTTAAATTAATGTTAATCTCAATTCGATTGGATAAGAAAAACTCAACTAATTTAAATATAGTATAATGAATCTTTCATTATTCAGATTGAAAATAGAAGAAAATATAAATTACAGGAAACCTAGTCAAAAGTCACGCAGTTTTATGAAAGTCACGTTTATGTCAAATTAACATTGTTGGGGCATATAATAAAAGTATTCTCTCTCTCTCTCTCTCTCTTTTGAATATAAACCACATATTTTTTTAAATTTGGAAAAAAAACACAATATAATTATGTAAAAAATGACGTGCATACCATTGGCTTTGAAATCGAGAAGGTACACGTTTTATTTTACCACCATGCTACCACACCACTGTTTTACCGCAGTCCTGTCAAATTGCTGAGTACCGCTAAGGTATGTAATGCATAACGGTGCGATACAAGTTTGAACAATTTTTATTGTTACCGTGTAAGAAAGAGAGAGTTCAATGCAAGAATTAGAGCTCTCTAATTGTCCATTAGAGTTAAGACAAATGACGTATTCATTAGAAACAAAAAGAAACCTTGATACTGCAAGATTACGTTTCTCATAATGTCTAATCAATAAAAATTGATACTTGCATATAGGTTAGAATAAACTTAATTCGAAAGAAAACTTATTAAAATTGATCTTCTTATCGTGATAATAATAAATTCGAAAGTTTCAAAGCCATTAATGATACACGTGCGTATCGAGACCGTTGGGATATTTACATAAGATCATTCATTAAGAATAATGGCGAATATAAAGTACAATTATCAAGGATGTGAAAGAAAAAAAAAGAAAAAAGAGAAAGACGAGAATTCCATGAAGATACGTGAGATTTAATATTTTTGTCCAAACACCACCACGTGGTTACTATAGGATTACTTTTTTCCTTATGCGTAGGTAGACCCGCGCGTCCCTTTTTTTAAACTCTTTAAAAATAACTACACTGATTATAAATAATATATAAAATCAAGTTTTAACTTGATGAATTATTAAACAAGTAAAGAAATTCTAAATGGTGTGAAAGCGTGTGCAACAACACCACCACCACCACGGACGGGATGGTACGCAATTATTGAAATGTGGAGCAAATCTAATCTATTACGACGTGCGTCTTGTACTTTGGTAGGGTAGAATAACTCGTACGAAGCCATGTCTGATCACCACGCGGTCGCGTATATACTTATTTGTCGTATCTATGAAAGATAAGGTGAAATCCCTCTTAAAGATAACCAATATTCTCAAGAATTGAGACGATGAGAGAGAATTGTCTCCTTATTCTTCATCTCTTTTTCTTTCTTTTTTTTTTTTGCTTTTCATGCTCTATTTCAAATGCTCCGTTTGAATTATTTGAAAAGCTAAGTCATCATTGACATTAGGAAAACAATACGCGTTAAGGAAAAGCAAATAATTCGAAATTGGAGTAAAGAAAAATAAGAAAGTCAATAAAAAAAAAATGTATCAAAAAGAAATAAGTAAATATGTAAATAAGATTATTCCGAAAAGATAGTAGAAAAGGGGAGAAAGCAAAAATCAAAGTATCGAGATTCCCTAGACGAACCACGCCTTCAATAACAAAATACACGTCCTCGCTACTTTTATAGTAGACGCTATCGAGGGTTTGGACTCACCATCCTCCTAACTAACATTTTCCTCTTTCTCCTCCTCCATCTCCTTCTCTCATCCTCCTCCTTTATATCAGCATAGAGAGATATGTATATATATATACACAGATTTATACACACATTATTACACACATATACACACTTTTCTCCCTTTCTCCTACGCCCCAGATGTGAACGGTCGTTACACGTTGCAAACACGCGCGATCATCCATCATCCGATTATTCAGAATTTGTAATTTCCGATGGTCAAAAAGGAAAATAAAATAGAAAGAGTGAGAGAGAGAGAGAGAGAGAGAGGGAGGGAGTGTCGAAGATAAATAGAGAAAACGAAAGAGAGAAAGAGAGAGAGAAATAGAGAAAAAGAAAGGGAACGGGAGGGACGTCAAGACTACATACCTTCTTTCTCAGCTGCCTTTTTGGCTCACTTTTTCGTCCGTCCATCACAAACGAATAACACTTTAATTATCGTCGTCGTTATTAACGACATCCTCATATTGGCACATATCACACAACTTTAAATTTGATTTTCTTTTTTGTTTTTTGTCCTTTTCTTATCCTTATTTCATCACACAATAACAAACATTCAGGGCATAACTTTCAGAAGACAAGCCAGGATATGCGCGGTGGTTAAAACGGCACGAAAAGAGACGACCAACGATGAAGATTCGTAGTCGACTCACCTGTTATGGACGGTGTGGTGATGATATGGTGTTAGTGGTGGTAGTGGTAGCGGTGGTAGTGGTAACGGTGGTAGTGTAGTGGTGGTGGCGGTGGTGGTGGTGATGATGATGGTGGTAGGGGTATATGAGGAAAGCGCTAGAAGGATATAAGAAGATGGACGGATAGTGAGGAAACCGCGTGGCACAATGTTTTTTCTCTCTTTCTTATAATGAGTAAATGCGTAATCCAGGAAAAGGGTAGCAGCAAATAAGAAATATAAAAAGAGTGAGAAAGAGAGATATATAAGGATAGAGAGGGAGAAATAGAAAAGCGCGACAACAACGTTCTCCCACGAAGGAAGACTCCAACCACGAGCTGAACACTAGCAAGCGTGTGTGGCTCAATGAACACTAGAGGGAGGATGGACGACGGACGGGTGAGCGGGTTCAAAAAAGGGGAGGGAAGGCGAAATGACGAAGACGGCGACGACGACGACGACGACGACACGATTTCACTCGAATCCTTCCGACTCAACACGATTTTATTCGACTTTACTTCGGTGCAATTCGGTATTATTCGTACAGATTCGGTTCCGTTCGGCGGCTCAACTCGAAAAGAGTCGAAGGAAGTCGAAGAGAGGCAAGCAAGCAAGGCTCACTGGACACCCCGGGGCGTATCGGCGCCTATGGACGGTACTATCTACCAACCGTGCCACACCGTACGATGCCGTGCGTGCGTGCATGCGTTTCTGCTGCTCACTGCCTGCTGAGTGTATGTTATGTATATTTTACTCTTTCTTTCTTTCTTTCTCTCTCTCTCTCTCTCTCGTTTTCTCTGTGTATGTGTTATATGACGGAAGGACGATTGAGGGAGGGAGAAATAGCGATAAGGGGACGAAAAGAGAGCGGGCAGAGGAAAAGATTTACGCAACCCTCTCTTGGTACCGAGTGAAAATCCACGTCGATGCACGTTGCTGTCGATGCGCCTCGATAAGCCACGTAGTACCCTTTCCCTCTCCCTCTCTTTTTCTTTCTCGCGCCCGCCTTGACTCGTTCAATGATCCTTTTCTAAGAAGCGCGAAACTAACCTCTTTTCCGCCCTGTGCTTACGCTCTCTTTTCTTCTCTTTTCCCCTTCTACTTTTTAGCAGAACGCCCTCTCTCTTTTTCTCAATCCTTTCCTCTTTCTCTATCTCTTTTACATCCCCTTACCCCGCAACAATCTCCTTCATCCTACTACCACTTTCCTTTCCTCTCAAGATTAACCCTTTGGAGTGCCACGCGCGATCGCGCAAACGAGGAGCGCGCATGCGTATATGTCGACGAATATAAGCGAGGTTGGCAGAACGAAGGTAGACTCGTAGAATTGTAAGAAAATAGCATCCTGTTCGACTGTGCCATAGAGAGAGGGATAGAGAGAGGGATAGGGAGAGGGAAAGAGTGAGCGAGCTGGACGAAAAGGGAGGTGGAGGAGAGGAATGGTGGAAACTACTTCGAACAGAAGGGGAGGGGGTAAAAGTAGGGCGAAAAAGGGATGAAGCGGCAAGGAGACGTCCGATCGTGTCTCGCCCCCTACAAGAAAGATAGGAGAAAGAAAGAGAGCGAAAGAAAAAGAGAGAAAGAGAGCAAAGTATCGATTCGGCTAGGAAGGATTGTCGTCCGATGGCAACGACCCTCTCGATCGTAGCCAAGTCGAAAGCGCGAGTTGATGTATTTTTCAGCATATCGACACCGCCCGGTTATTCCCGATGACACCCGAACGAACGACGATCCGACGTTGTCGTCGTCGTCGTTGCTGTCGCGGTGGCATTTCGCTTCTTTTTCGAGGAATCCGTTGTTATTACACGGCTCACCGTATTTGTAAGGTTTGTAGGAATGCACGCGTCGAACGATGAAGGTACGTCGACTTACCTTGGCATCCTCGTGATGCACTCGATTCGACGACGACGACGACGGCGGCGATGACGACGACGACGACGACGACGACGACGACGACGGGGTTGAGAGCCTCTCCACCGAGGACGTGCGACTTGGCCCGTGCAGCGCTAGGACGCCATGTCAGCAAGTCGAGGCGCGGACTCGGGGCAGATACGCGCACGACGCGCACACAGGCGCAAGCGCGCGCCCGCGCGTCCACCGATAGGGAGTACCAGCAGGGAGGAGAAAGACTGTGCTAGAGAGAGAGAGAGAGAGAGAGAGAGAGGGATTGAGGGAACGAGAGAGAAAGAAAGAAAGAGAGAGACGGTCCGTCTACCGGACCGACAAATGGACAGAGAGGGAGAAACCCACACACATACCACCTAATCGACCAACCCGGTACGCGCCTCCCGTGCTGGGGAATTCCTGCTGCGCCACCGAACGGCCGTCACGGAACCTCGCCTACGCCCGCATAGCGCCACGGCCGTGCCTTCCGTTCTTGGTACCCTTCACTGCTTTTACCTCGTCCTCGTCATCCTAGTCGTCGTAATCTTTATCATCGTCGTTCTCTCCTTTGTATTCATCATATTTATCATCATCGTCATTGTTTTCCTAGTCGTCATAATCGCTTAGTCGTGATCGTCATCGTCATACAACTCAAATAACACCCGCCTCCCTCTTGAGCGCCCTCTTTCGAACGACCACCGAAACCAAACGGACGAAGAGAGATTCATAGAAAGGAAGAGAGACAGAGAGGGAGAAAGAGGTACAGAGGTAGAATTGCTGGATATGTTGCTTCTCTCTTTTTCTACCTCTCTCTCTCTCTCACCACCCCACTCCACCCCACTCCACCCTCTCCGACTCGTCGACGCGACGGAGACGGCCCCTCTATACCCCAGACCTCCATCCCTCGTCCTCCCTAACCGCTCTCCATCCTTCATCGTGTCTCTCTCCACCGCACCCTCAATGCCTTCGCGCTATCCTGCGCGCGCGACTACGCGTATCGTCGAGCGACCCCTCTTCCACCACCCACCCTCTCACCTCACGCGGTCTTTCCTCTCTCACGCCACTATTTCCCTCGGCCGTCCCGCTCGACGGACTTGTCTATGTTCTCCTCTTCCTCCCGACTCTATATATGCGTCTTCGCCAACGTCGGCCCCTTTCCTTCGCTCCCTCGCACCCTCGATCGCCCTCCGAAAGGGGCGCTTATTTTCGCCCCTTTGTTCTCACGCTTGTAACCAAACTCCTCCGCTCTTTCGCGCGCTCTCCCCTTCCCTTCTTTCTTTTTCCTCTCCCCTACACTCCCTCCACCTCCTCCACCTTCTTTCGTTCACGTCACCGTACACTCCATTTCATTGCGATATCGTTACCCTTTCGCGGCCGATGTCTTCTTATAAATCCCATGATTTGCTTTTTAAAACGACCGATATCGTTCGAGCTGACCTAGGATCAGTTTATTCTTTGAAAAATCATTTATCTATAATTATATTTCAAACGTTCGAGGTTATGTTCAACGAAGAAGGAGTAAGCACGTGGTTCGCGATGCTTTTATCACGTACGTTATCATTCTACGGTGATATATATCGATTAACTTTATCGCTAATTCTTTATTTCTAAGATCATCCAACAGACACTTGCAATCGTAGGCAAACGTTATTGAATAATTTGTTTTCCATTTAAACTCGATTCACGATCGATCATTCGTTCCAAACGAAATTTGAGCCGTCTCGTTCTACGCTCCGTTTCATCGCGTAGGCATTTATTGTTAGATGACTACGAACATTAGTCAACACAGAAAAATAGAGAAAAAGAGTGAGATGGAAAAGGAAAAAGATTGAGAGAGAGAAAGAGAGAGGGAGAGAGGGAGAGTCTTTGCTAAATTCAGAACGAAACGTAATCGTGTTCAAAAAAGGGGACCGATTATCGTCCTATTGAACTTTTTTTTTAGGAGGGGTCGTAACCCTTATCGTTTATTCCGAGAAGACTCTTCTCCTTCAATAAGTAAACTTTATACCGATATCCTTTCGTAAGAACTTTCATGACGATATCTATTATCGCGTGAAACAAGATAATAACGGGGGCGGGTTAACAAATTTGAAAAAAATGAAAGAAATGATTTTTCTTATAAATCAATTTCTATGGAATAAAAGTTGCTAACTGGTGAAACTAATAAAGTAGGAAGATTTTCATTCTGGTAAGGAAGCGTAAAAAAGAGAAACGAGGAGGAAGAGGGGCAAATAGACACGAGAGAGTAGTAGGCGAGTCCGCTAGTAGGACGCGCGCGCGCGTGCGTACGCACGACACGCGCGTCTGCGCAATGTCCTCTTCGCGGATGCGCTGCTTGCTACCGCATAAACGAGAAAGAAACAGATAGAAAGAACTCTTTTTCGTTTCGAGATCATTTTCTCACTGACATGAGAGAGAATGAAACGTAGGGTATACAATTACCAACTGCATTCGCGTCTACTGGCACAAATGTGCGAGAAAGAAGAGAAATAATACGAAGAATGAAGTTTATCCCCATTACGAATACAACTATAACTAGAAAATAAATTGCTTTTAACTTTTAGAACGACACCTAAAGCTATAAGAGTATTATTATATAATTGTAATACTATATGAAATACAATGTAAATCGTCTTAATTCTTTTTTTTTATTATTTTAAAGAACACCTTTGTGAAAGTATACAACTCTTACCATTCCTACCAGTCTAATCTTTAGGTATTACAAAATCAAACGATTTCCAAAGTTGATAAAGAAAATTATCAAGAAAGAAATATTTCATCAATTAGATTATACGAATTATCTTCTACGTTTGTATATTCATTCTCAGTACACGTGTAGATTGCGTTTTTTTTTTTCGTCACTTTATTGCTAACTAAATCGTAAACAATATAATGCTTAATTACGAAATAAAAGTGATGAAAAATCAAATAGAAATAGAAAGGAGAAATAGAAAGAAGATGTATGTTAGTTTCATATATTTTCAAAGTTTTGCCCTTCTCCATAGTTCCTCTCGTTCCTCCTTAATAATTTGGACAGAAGGAACGCGCGAATCAGTTTGATCTTTCAGTTCGCGGGCACTTTGAATCGTACAGTCGTCGTCGTCGTCGTCGTCGTCGTACTTTCCGTCCCGCTTTCTCCTTTTCCATCAACTCACACTCGGTCTATCCTTGTTGTTGTATCTTGCGACGGATTCACTGTGTTGCTACGTCTGTCGACACCTTGACACCTTTACCCCAACGACACACGCGTGCTCAAATGCGTAGATGAGATTTCGATTATGTAGCATTTCCATTTTCGATCATTCAAAAAATCGATAACTTTAATAATTCCAATTTATTTTTATACACAATTCTAAAAATAAGAAACTAAGGGAAGTTAATGACGTGTTGTATATCTCTTTCGAAATAAAATCCTGAAATTGATAGTTTCGGTTATTACCGATAAGATTACAAAAAAATCTATAATAAAATAGTATTTATCTAAATTGCAAATTAAATACCCCAAAAAAGGTACTTATATACAAATAAGTTTAAACGATGTATAAAAACTAAATAAAGGAAGTAGTATTAACAGCATCGAGGAAGGTGGAAAACGCAGACGGGGGAATGGCTTGGTGCGTTGTCCGGCAGTTTTCACGAGGGGTAGCAAGCCAGCAGCCTCTGGTCTCTCCTCCACCGTGGATGAATTCCCGCATATCATTTCGGTCGACTGATAAAAAGACTTGGAAGCTGGCTCGTCGCAATGGACGACGAGGCGTATACGGACAAAAAAGCCGCTGAGAGGGGAAGAGACTCGGAGGTCGGAACACACATACGTAGATTCACACAAGTGCACATATATACATACAAATATAGCATAGATAGACACACATGTATCACGCAGTAGATACACACAAGCGCAGAGAAGGCAAAAGGGGAGGGAGACAGAGGGAAAGAGGGAAAGAGGAGGTTGAGGAAGAGGCCGAGAGGGGTTGTGGGGGAGGGGGAGGGAGAGAGAGTGAGCGAGGACGAACCGAGCAAGCAGAGAGCGTAGCTCAAGCTTGGTTGCTAAAGGGGTGTAGAGACGTCAAGAGGGATACGACGCGCTTGCCGTTGGAAGAAGACGGGGCGGAGGGGTGCAGATGTGCACGTAAACGACGTGAATCCGGGTAAAGGGGAGCGTCACCACCATCGCCATCGCCATCGCCATCGCCATCGCCACCGCCACCGCCACTAACAACGCCGTCCTCGCTGCTGTTGCTCTGCCGTCGCGATAATTTGGACTCTCTTCTGACTACTTTTCTCTTTCTATCTATTTCTTTCTATCTATATCTATCTTCCTCTCTCTCTCTCTCTCTCTCTTTCATCGTTGTCGCTCGTGTCCTTCGTTTAGTTTCTAGCGAGCCTCCTCTAGCGTGCTGATTCTAGCTTGACGCTCGTGCGCGCACTCTAAGAAACTCGATGTGCAGTCGTATGCGCCCACTGCCAGGGCTGTATCGTTTTCCTCTACAATGAGTGTTCATTCCTATCTCTTTCTTTCTTACTTTTTAATCTATAAGAATAATATAGGTATAGGTAGGCTTGCTGCAATCTCTTTGGTGGCTAAATAAAAGAAAAAAACCCCCCAAAAAATAGAAAAGAAAAGACATTTTGATAACCGTAATGAACAGTTCCCTTTTATAGTTGAAAATTCGTTAGGATTATCGTACACGCGTGATCACCTATCAAATGATATGGCATTTAGAATAGGATTACGTAAGAGGGTATCACGGTCATATTTAATTCTAAACTTTCCTGGTTTTTCCTTCCTTAGTAAAGTAAAGAGCTCTAAACGTCTTACGTAATGTCGCGAACGTTTTACCACCTGCATTCTACGAGTGTCTTGTTCTGTGAAATTTTTTTTCCTTTTTTTTTTTTTGTCTTTTCCTTTAGTCTTCATACCTTTTTTTTTGTCTTATCATACGTAAGTTCGTAGAAGTAAGGTTGAAAGAACGAAAAGGATTGGAAGTGTCGCGACTCGTGATCCCCGGATCCTCGATGTGGCCCCGAACGGTGGTATCTAGGGAGCTTAGAGATCCAATGGAAGCCAAGTCGCGTAGAAGGGATACTAGAGTAGGAGGTGGCAGTTATGGCGCCTGCCGTTTGCGAGGAAGAAGAAGAAGAAGAAGTGAAGAAGAAAGAGGAGTGAAAAAGAGAAAGAGAGAGAGAGATTGAGTCGAAGAGTACTACACGTGTCGCGGCGGCGGGGTGTTGACCCCAAATAGCTTTTTTAACGT